TTTGTTTTTGAGAGGGCCTCGAATCCCTGCAGAATCACTCTGGTTAGAACCTGCACTGACGGACGTCGCAAGAGTGGGCATCCTTCCTTGTTCCTTCTTTGAGGAGTTATAATTTTTTTTAATAAAAAGGGAAGCATTAAACTTAAAGAAGATAATAATAAAATTGTCCGCAGGAAATGGAAATAATGGCGTACACGCCGGCAACGCTGGGACACAGAAGGGGGGCGGGAGCATCACTCCAGCCAGGGCACAGAAGGGGCGCGGGAGCATCACTCCAGCCAGGGCACAGAACAGGGGCGGGAGCATCACTCCAGCCAGGGCACAGAAGCGGGGCGGGAGCATCACTCGCTCCAGCCAGGGCACAGAACAGGGGCGGGAGCATCACTCACTCCAGCCAGGACACAGAAGGGGGGCGGGAGCATCACTCCAGCCAGGGCACAGAAGGGGAGCGGGAGCATCACTCCAGCCAGGACACAGAAGGGGCGCGGGAGCATCACTCCAGCCAGGGCACAGAGGCGGGGCGGGAGCATCACTCCAGCCAGGGCACAGAAGGGGGGCGGGAGCATCACTCCAGCCAGGGCACAGAAGGGGGGCGGGAGCATCACTCCAGCCAGGGCACAGAAGGGGGGCGGGAGCATCACTCCAGCCAGGACACAGAAGGGGCGTGGGAGCATCACTCCAGCCAGGGCACAGAAGGGGGGCGGGAGCATCACTCACTCCAGCCAGGGCACAGAAGGGGGGCGGGAGCATCACTCACTCCAGCCAGGGCACAGAAGGGGGGCGGGAGTATCACTCCAGCCAGGACACAGAAGGGGTGCGGGAGCATCACTCACTCCAGCCAGGGCAAGGCCATCTTGGATTACAGAGCAAGATCTTGTCTCCAAAGATGACCACAGCAAGGATGGAGTAAAGAGGAGGTGGAGGAGAGGAAGAGGAGGGAAAGATGGAAGGGAGGAGAAAATAAATTATAAGGATTGATGGGGGGAGACAGAGTCCCTCTGTGCAGCCCTGGCTGTCCTAGAATTTGATGTGTAAACCAGGCTATCCTCAAACTCGCAGAGATCCACCACCTGCCTCAGCCTCCCAAGTGCTGGATTAAAGGCGTGAGCCACCACCACCCGGCTCTTTCTACTTACATGTCTCCTTCCTTCCTTCCTTCCTTCCTTCCTTCCTTCCTTCCTTCCTTCCTTCCTTCCTTCCTTCCTTCCTTCCTTCCTTCCTTGCTTTGCCTTTTCCCTTTTATTTCCATTTCTGGAGACAGGATCTCACTAGGTAGCCCTGGCTGGCCTAGAACTCACTATGCAGACCAGACTAGCTTTGAATTCACAGAAATCCACCCACATATGCCTCCTAAATACTGGAGTTAAGGAGGTACAGCACCATGCTGATATTTTTTTTTCTTTTGTGACCAGTTGAGTTTAAGGTTGTTTTCATGAGCATGAACAGAAAATCTACCAGGTTTGTGTATTTGTTTGATTTTTATACTGGGTCTCATGCAGTCCAGGCTGGCCTCAAACTCCACGTCCTCCTGATCTCTCAGGTGCTGGGATTATAGATGTGTACTACCATGCATGTTTTATGTAGTACCAGGGATCAAACCCAGGGCCTGCCACATGCTAAGCAAGCACACCACCAACAACTGAATTGCCAGCTCTGTTTTTTTGTGGATTTTTGTTTATTGGCTTGTTTGAGACAGAGTCTCATTCTATAGCCTCCGTGTTTGGCCTAGAACTTTCTAAGCTGACCAACCTTGGGCTTGAACTTATTGTGATCCTCTTGCCTCTTGCCTCTGGCCCCTGAGTACTGGGGAAACAGGTGTGTGCCACCAAGCCCAACTTTTATTTATGTTTATATACTAAAGTTTTGTTTTGTACTCTGTTAAATTCACTGGTTCTTTTGTTGTTGTTGTTTGGCTAAGATTTTATTCATGAAATATTTTAAAATAAATACGGTTCTATATTTTTGTTGCTAGTTTATGCTATTTTTAAATTTTTTTCATCATCTTAGATAGAACCTATAATTCCATGACAAAAAAAATCCGGTAAAGCAGGCATGGTGGCACATGCCTTTAATCCCAGCACTCAAGAAGCAGAGGCAGGCAGATCTCTGTGAGTTCGAGTCCAGCCTGGTCTACAAAGCAAATTCTAGGACAACCAGGGATACACAGAGAAACCCTATCTTGAAAAAACAAAGAAACAAAAAAGTAAGAATATTCTTTTTTTAAAATATATATTGTATGTGTATGCATGCATGCCTATGTCAGGACACAGACATGGAAGTCAGAAGACACTGTATGGAAAGGATGTGTTCTCTCCTTTCATCATGGGAGCCTCAGGGATTGAACTCAGATCATCAGACTTGGCGACAAGTGCCCTTTACATTCTGAGCCATCTTAGTGGACCAGATACTCTTTTTGATAGATTTAAAGAGAAACTATTTAAATGGTATACCCTTCTTGTAAATGGAGACAACAGTGCCCTAGGGATTCTCTAGGGATTTTGGGTCTAGGAATTTGAGGTATCATGGGACTCTTCTGTACTCTTGTTTCTTTCCATTTTGGCTGTGAATCCATGGAGACTTACTCCCTAGTTTATTCTGTAATTGTTCTCAGTGGTTAAGGGCCACTTCTGGGAACAGAGAGCAGTAAAAATTAATAGGGATAGGACCCTGGATGCTGTCCTCTAGTCTGCCAGAAGTGAGGGACATATCAGAGAAAAATTTTTATGCCATAAAGATAATTTAGAACTTGTAATATTTTTGTTTATTTTGTTTTTATTTCTAAGACAGAGTCTTGTTGGGTAGCATAGGCTAGCCTTGAACTCATAATCCTCCTGCCTCAGCCTCCCAAGTGCTGAGATGACAGGCATGCGTCCTCACACCTGGCTGTGCCAGATTTAGAAATCATTGATGGCGGGGCGGTGGTGGTATATGCCTTTAGTCCCAGCACTCGGGAGGCAGAGGCAGGTGGATCTCTGTGAGTTCAAGACCAGCCTGGGCTACCAAGTGAGTTCCAGGAAAGGCGCAAAGCTACACAGAGAAACCCTGTCTCAAAAAACCAAAAAAATAAATAAATAAATAAATAAATAAAAAAATAAAAGAAAGAAAGAAAAAAATCATTGATGTCTGTCCTTCCTCTAATTTGGGAACTAGTGTTATGCCTGAATCCAAGAAGAAGTCCAGTTCTTCATCTGGTTAGACTCAGTGTCTTAGTTAGGGTTTCTATCAGTGTGAAGAGACACCATGACCACGGCAACTCTTATAAAGAAAACATTTAATTAGGGTGGCTGACGTATTCAGAGGTTCAGTCCATTATCATTGTGGTGGGACATGGCAGCGTGCAGTCAGAGGGGGTGCTGGAGTAGTAGCTGAGAGTCCTACATATTCTGGGCAACAGGAAATGGACTGAGACACTGGGCAGTATCCTGAGCATAGGAAACCTCAAAGCTGGTCCCCAGTGACGCTCTTCCTCTAACACCCACTCCAACAGAGCCACAGCTCCTAATAGTGCTGCTCCCTATGAGATTATGGGGGCCAATTACATTCAAAATACCTCACTCAGTGAGTCAGGGCTGAGCTGATGAACATGTTTTATCTGTGTCTCATGTTGAAATCAGGAAAAGTGAAAGTTGCTTTGAGTGAGTCTGTTGTCAGTCAGTCTGTCCATGTATGTGTAGTACGGTTTAGAGGTTCCCTACCAGGATTGCCAGCCTTCTGCCTTAACCTTCTCCAAAAGATACTGAGAAACTTTCTCATTTCATCTACAGATCTAGGGCTAAACCTTAGGACAAGGCAATATGGTAGGATGGACAGGTATCAGAAGGGGAAAAAAAAAACAGTTTGTCAGTATGGGACAAAGGTGAGGAGGACAGAGTCTGCTCCAGGAAGAATTGGTAAATATTTGTAAATACCAGATCCTTCACTTTTGTAAACCATACACAGCTTTCTGGCTTCCTAAGGATGTGGTCGAGAGAAGGTGGGATTAAAACAACATTCACTCGGATCGTGAAGACACCAAAGGAAATGAGATGTTTATACTACCTGCTTCTTTTAGCTTCCCCTCCAAACCAGTGAAATCCCTTAACTTTTTTTTCTCAATATGTATTGTTTTTTCTAGACAAATTCTCTCTCTGTGGCCCTGGCTGTCCGGGAACTAGCTCTATAGACCAGGCTGGCCTTGAACTCAGAGATCAGCTGCCTCTGCCTCCCAAGTGAAAAGACTGGAGAGATGGGTCATTGGTTAAAAGCACTTTTGCTGCTATGCAGAAGACCCAGGTTTAGTTCCCAGAACACACATGGCAGCCTACAGATCTCTGTAACTCCAGTTCTAGGGAATCCAACACCCTCTTCTAGCCTCCTTGAGCACTTACGTACATACGAGAAAAATGGTAGCACATGCCTTTAATCCCAGCACTCGGAAGGCAGAGCCAGGCAGATCTCTGTGAGTTTGAGGCCAGCCTGGTCTACAGAGTGAGTTCCAGGAAGGCTGTCCAGGGCTACACAGAGAAACCTTGTCTCAAAAAAACAAAACTTCCCACCAAAAAAAATCTAAAAAATCTTTACAAAAATAAAATAAAAAGAATATGGGTGAAGATGGGCCAGTGGAATTGAGGTCTCCAAAGACCACCTGGTGACAAACAATACAGCCCAGCAGTCTGCACATGGCTGTCCTCATCATAGCCTCTGTCTCCAAGCCCACCTGCATCTACTCAGCCCTCGTCCTGCATTAAGTCCAGGTGACCTTCCTGGAGGATAAGATCGATGTCCTCATTAAAACAGCTGGCTTTGCTGTTGAAACTTTCTGTCCCTGCTTATTTGCTAAGGCCCCGGCCAATGTCAACACTGGGAGCCTCATCTGCACCTTAGGGACTGATGGACATGTTCTAGCTGTCAGTCCTGGCCCTTCCACGGCCGCGGCTCCAAATACCTCCTCTCTCCACGGCACAGAGAACCGGGTAGAGCAGCAGGAGCTACCAAACCTACCCAAGTGGTCTTACTTCTCC